TATTTTTAGCTGTCCAATTAATTTCTTTCTATTTTTGGTAGAGACGAGGTCTCGCTCTTCCTCAGGCTGGCCTCGAACTCCTGAGCTCAAAGGATCCACCCGCCTCGGCCTCCCAGAGTGCTAGGATTACAGGCGTGAGCCACCGCGCCCGGCCCGGACCTCAGTTTCTTGAAGAGATTTTTGAGAACACGATGTAACATTGTTTTCAACCCACACGACAGCCCCTGAAATAAGACAGGAGCAAGACCAGTAAAGCAGAGTCTAGAAGGCTATTCCCAAAAGCTAAGATGTCAGCACAACAGACATGAAGGTACTCTTCATTAATGTCCATACACATTAAGTTAATAAGCCAGAAGGCAAAAAGACTATTAGAAATAGGATGTCATAATCTTAAAACTAGATATTTGAGTTCTATTATTCTTGCCAAGGCCCTTAGTATCAGAAAATTCTCAGTACATCACCTGACAGATCTTAGAAGATGTTCTGAGAGAACAGCCTGAAGTTCCAGGCCAAAAGGGCCAGCATTCTGAGGCCCTTGCCACAAAACCCAGGAAAGATTTAAGAAGTGAGAAAGATTAGGAAATACTCCATGGGAAGAAAGTTAAACAAGCTTAAGATATTCTGAGCACAAAAGAGAAACTTGGGAAATTATGGCGACTAGGAGGCAGTAACAGCAAATCAAAAGAGAGTGAGCTTTGGTGTCGGACTGCCTGGTTTTAATCCCAGCTTTATTAATCCCACTTATTAACTGTATAACCTTCACTTTTTTCACCTGTAAAACATGGATAACAACAGTACTTAATTCACTGGAGTTGTTAGCAGGATTAAATAGGAATACCTATCTATAAAGCGCACTTAGGGGCAGTATTTACTCTTTGGTACACATTGCCTTTGATACATTAAAAATGCTCAATAAATGTGAGATATTGTTAATATTCATAATAAACTACAACAAAAGTAGAGCTGTATTAATTTCTAGCCTACCAAAGAGATGTAAGTATCTTGTCCATCTACTAAGACCTAAGTAGGAAAAAAATAAAGATGTTATAAATAGGTATCCTTCTATCCCAGATTAAAGTTTTAGTAACCATTGTATCAATATGAAACTCACCTCAGATGCCATGGGTCTCTTAATTCCAGATGCTGCTAAAATAAATAAATAAAATACAATCATAAGCATGTACACACATACCCACATGCACAATCTCTAGCAAACACAATGAAAAAAATCAGGGTATGAGTCAAACTAAACATGAGCATAAATTCCTGCCTCTTGTGATACCAGATCCTTACCAGATAGTGATTTTAAATGTTCCTCCTACTCCTCCATACTCACAGAGGCCTTATGTATATTCCATTCTTGTTTTAGCCCCTTTTCTTACTCAAGTTTTCATATTTTCTCTGGGAAATACAACTATTCTTTTTTTTTTGAGACATAGTCTCACTCTGTTGCCCCAGGTAGAGTACAGTGGTGTCATCATGGTTCACTGCAACCTCAAACTCCTAGGCTCAAGTGATCCTCTTGCCTTAGCCCCTGAGTAGCTGCAACTACAGGTGTGTGCCACCATGCCCAGCTAATTTTTCTATTTTTAATAGAGACAGGGTCTTGGTCTTGCTCCAGCTGGTCTTGAACTCCTGAGCTCAAGCAATCCACCTGCCTTAGCCTCCCAGAATGCTAGGATTACAGGCGTGAGCCACCACATCCGGCCAATATAACTATTCTTAATACAATTAACCATCAGAGTCAGAGGCGCTCATTGATACCATGGTTGAAGGGCGGGGGCAGGCACACTGGCTCACAACTATAATCCCAGCACTCTGAGAGGCCAAGGTGGGAGTATCCCCTGAGCTCAGGAGTTCAAGATCAGCCTGAGCAAGAGTGAGACCCTGTCTCTACTAGAAAAAAGAAAAAAGTAGCCACGCATGGTGGTGCACACCTGTAGTCCCAGCTACTAGGGAGGCTGAGGCAGAAGGACTGCTTGAGCCCAGGAGTTTGAGGTTGCAGTGAACTATGGTCATGCCACTGCACTCTAGCTGGGGTGTTAGAGCGAGACTCTTATCTCCAAAAAAAAAAAAAAAGAAAACAGAAAGGGCATGAGAGATACCCAAGACTCACTGGAGACACTAGGGCTTGACTGATAATTTTTTCTTTTAGAGCTAAAAGGGTAAAAACTTTTAGAGCATATCCATGGCATTTTACTCCTGTATTAATTATTTCAGAAGAAAAAGTTGGTCTATGGAACTGAAGAGCTAAGGATAAGAAAATGCATTGTCAAAAAATAATGGAAAAGTATGCAGTGCAGGAAGAAGCTGATTCTGCATTCCTACATCCCAGTCTTGACTTCTGCTGTAAACTTGACAGGAATTTGTTGGCATTTAAAGTTTACTTGTTTTTCAGTACAGATGTATAAAATATGTCTGTGGCTAAATCTCACAATTATTATTTATGACTTTTATCCACTTAAATTTAGGAAAGACTTCAAGAATAAGTATGTTTAGGCTGGGCATGGTGGTTCATGTGTGTAATCATAGCACTTTGGGAAGCCAAAGTGGGAGGATCACTTAAAGGCAGGAGTTCAAGACTAGCCTGAGTAACACATCAAGACCCCATCTCTACAAAAAATAGGAAAATTAGCTGGATGTGGTGCATGCCTGTAGTTCCAGCTACTCAGGAGGCTGAAACAGGAGGATCATTTGAGTCTAGGAGTTTGAGGTTGCAGTAAGCTATGATGATACCACTGCACTCATGCCCAGGCAACAGAGCAAGAAGACCTAATCTAAAAAAAATAAAATAAAATAACGATATATATATATAAATAAAATAAATATGAAGTATGTTTAGAAAGTGACTAAATTATCATATCTATAGAAAATCTACTCTGAAAGGTTAAATCAACTTTTAAGGGTTTGCAATCCCATAACCCTCACTCATGATCACATTAGAAACACATGATCACATTATCAACTCAGACATTCTTGCCCTCATATTGGAGAATATTGGCCTTTATCTTGAAAGACTACTGAAATATCACTTTGACCTAGTTAAAAAGAATTCGAAGTAATAAAGATTAGCTACAGTAAAGAAAATTAAAAAGAAGAGTCCAAACGGAATGGATCTTCAACAATATAAGTTAGTATCTGAGTAGGAAGATGCCAGTCCACGTGTATGGATTAATTAATGGTGAGGCAGCAATAGAGACACACAGGATTAAGATCAGGTAAAGCTCTAATTATGATTAAAACAAAAATGATCAAGTGCCCCCCGAATTTCAGAATACACAATAGTTGGGCTCATAGACTGTGACAGCTCTTAGCAGTAGAAAGCACTATGTGTCTATGGCACCAATCAGCAGAGCAGCAAAATTTCCTTCCTCATAGGCAGGGTAGCAAAAAATGGGTAAGATGGATTTTTATTTCTCTGCTCAAAAAAGGAGGCATGAGCAATGTCACATAGCTGTTAGGAAGATGTGCTGCAGAAAATAATAGCCAGAAAACTGGAAGAACAGACCAATTTTCACTGATGCTTCTCTCCAGCAGAGCCCAATAATCTACACCTTTTCTAGGATGATTCCTCTTCAATCAGTTCAACTTTAGCTGGGTGAATGACTAAGTATAATAAATTACAACTGACACCTTAAATTAAAGCTTTCAAGGAACAATAAGCCAGGACAACTCAAATTTATGGTTAAAACTGCTGATAACTTACTGCAGAATTTAAGGTTGTTCACCAACAAAAAGTCAAACCTCTTACATCTTACAATCTTTTAGGCTGATAGTCAAAACGCTGAGCTATTTAAAAATCAGAAGACCTGGTCCACCTGTTACAGCAGGCAAATTGTTTCCTGTATTTAACTAAAAGGAAGAGGAATCTATATTAGAAGGCTTATGTAAAGATTAAATGAGATAAACTAAATCAAAATACTTTATAGAATGTAAAGTAACTAGACAAATATGTTGTTACATGTTATTTTAATGCAATAGCAAAGTTGGGCCCACAGCAAGGGTTAATGTTCAATTACCTAAACCTTCATGAAATTCTAATTAGCATCTCAAAGTACCTGGCTCCTGCCAAACCCCTCAGCTGTGCTGTCCTGTCCCCTAACATACCCATGTGCATGTGCATACTCATGCCCATAGAATAAGTGATTCTCAATGAGGAAATCTGTATGCTTTCAGTTGAAGAAGCAAACACTGGTTCTAGACTCTGGTCAATGCTTGTCCTAATCCCTCCTCTTTTACCCCAGAGGAAAGGGTTTGGAGGGGACTTGGCAGAACCAAGAAGAGCCAGCATCCAGTCCTACTCTGGCAGTTAATCAACTAGAAAATAAGCTCCTCTGTATGCAAAAAGTCACTGGACCAAAGTTTAACAATGGAGAAAAAAGCAGATAAGTGATTTCAAGGCAAAGAGTGGGTTTGAGTCTTTCTTACCTCTCTAAAAAGTTCTACTTTGCTACCTTTCCTAGTTTTATCACACAAACATGCAGCTTTAGGGCTGCTACACTCTTACAAAGAACCTCGAATGAGGATGGAAAGACTTCATTCAGTGGAATTTTGGAGCCAACTGCTTAGATATCTGCAAGTGCAAAATTAATTACAAGAGCACACATAGCTGAAGCAGAAAAAAAAAAAAAGATACTGGGGTCTAAGTAATAACACTCAGACCAAGTGACACAGGGAAGAAGAGAATCAGGACACAAGACTTACTTTCTTCTTTGCCTGAAGTTTTGTCTCTAGGGCATGGCACAAATGAGATATCTAACCTACCAAAGAATGGAAGAGAACAGAAAAATGCCTAGAGAATTTTACCAATGTTGGTGAAACACTCAGCTTGGTCCAGAAACCCAATGAAGAGCAGAGAGACAGTACAAAGAACCAGATACCATCTGCTGAGGCTTGACCATTTGGCCCAAGGCTCTGCCAATGATAACTCATCTATTGAGGAAGCCCTTAAAACTGCAGTCACCAGCACTGCACCTGTTTCACCTCATAACCAAACCTTCTCTTCTATCAGGAGAAGAGGAGGAGGGGGAGGGGGAGGAGGAAAAGAAGTGGGAATGAGAAGAGGGAGAGAGGAGGAGGAGGAGGAGGAGGAGGAAAAGAAGTGAGAATGAGAAGAAGAGGGAGAGAGGAGAAGGAGTAAGACAAGTGAAAGAAAAAACACAAGAAAACCAAGGTATAAATAAGATCATAAAATTTTTTTTCTTTTTTGAGACAGAATCTCACTCTGTTGCCCTGGCTACAGTTCCATGGCATCAGCCTAGCTCACGGCAACCTCAAACTCCTGGGCTCAAGCGATTCTCCTGCCTCAGCCTCCCAAGTAGCTAGGACTATAAGTGTGTGCACCATGCCCAGCTAATTTTTTCTATTTTTAGTAGGGACGGGGTCTCGCTCTTGCTCAGGCTGGTCTCAAACTCCCGACCTCAAGCGATCCTCTTGCCTCAGCCTCCCAGAGTACTAGGATTGATTATAGGTGTGAGCCACTGCACCCAGCCTAAGGTCAGAATATCGTTCAAAAAATTTTTCTAGCATCTCTGTGAAAAATACTGTAGGTATATATTATTATTTTGTAATCCAAATCTATGATCCACGAATGTCATTATCTTTTCAGGTGGGGAAACTGAGCCATAGGGCAGTTTCAACATTAAAATTTACTTTTCCTAGTTGGGCGCAGTGGCTCATGCCTGTAATCCTAGCACTCTGGGAGGCCGAGGTGGGTGGATCGCTCAAAGTCAGGAGTTCGAGACCAGCCTGAGCAAGAGCGAGACCCCATCTCTACTAAAAATAGAAAAATTAGCCGGGCATGGTGGCGCATGCCTGTAGTCCCAGCTACTCGGGAGGCTGAGGCAGGAGGATCGCTTGAGCCCAGGAGTCTGAGGTTGCTGTGAGCTAGGCTGACGCCATGGCACTCTAGCCCAGGCAACAGAGCCAGACTCTGTCTCAAAAAAAAAAAAAATTTACTCTTCCTTAGGAGAAAAGTCTTCCGTGGATTTTGAGATCTGTCTTTCCCCATCTAAGCCAAAACTCTGAAGGATCATTATTCAAATGTCTATATTATTAGTCCACACTTGGAAATGTGGCATGTACCACCTGAGAGCCTGTTACTCAAGGTTAGGTATACAGGCTGATAGCTTGGCTATCAATGCTAC